AGCGGTATATTTTATTTAGACATGTCTATTGCTGCTACTGTGTCAGTATATTATTTGTATATAACTTGTGTTTTTATTTTATTCTTTGTATCTGTGTGCTGTTCGATCCTTTGGTGTTACCTGCTGCTGGAATCTGAATTTCCTGAGAGAACCTTCCCAAGGGTTAATAAAGTTCATATCTATGAAAAAACTATTCTCTGAATCAGCAGTTAGTTGAACTGGATGTCCGCATGACACAACAGATAAACATCAGCTCATGCCACATTATTTGCAGATGTTTGTCAACAGGTCCGATATCGGCCGACACCGATGTTGGATTTGTGCATCCCTAATCAAAAGTCAACATTTTACTGTCTGTGGAATCACACTTTTCAAGATCTTTCCACTGATGTGGAACAAGTTCAAACACTGAAACAACTCTGGGATTCTTTTCCCTCCTCCCTCAAACTTTCAGACAAATACCAGCGTGGCGGTAACAAGCATTAGGGGGTTGTGCTGAAATACAGGAAGGGTGGCTAAGTCGGGTTAAAATCACTGCTTTTCCACATTGCAGTGGGCTAACCCCCCACACTCCAAACCCAAATACATTCTTGGGGATTAGGTGGAGACTCTGAGGAAACAAAAAAAAAAGCAACGCTGGTCGTGTGGTGAAATAAAAAAGAGTGGGATGGAAAGTCGTTTTGGCAGGGATGTATAAATCCTCCTGAAATTATAAAATGTGCTGACAGTAAGAACGGCTGCCTCACACTGCAGTCACATTTCATTGTTGCTAATCACATTGTGCTAATCACCTCGGCTGCACAGACACCTGCAGCCTTGCTTGCACAGCAGCTGGATACAAAAACTCCATCCAATGTCTTGCCCTTTCTAGCCTTCCTTCCTCCCTCGCTCCTCTCTGTCCACCCCCCCCCCTTTGCTCCTCAAAACCCATTACAGTCCAAGCCCCCTGCTGAGCTGACTGTTTGACTTCAGCGCAGAGCTAGGATGATTTAAAGCGCTTATTTATCAAGACCTTATCAGCTGTGGTGTTGCAGAGAACTTGCTTTTTTTCCAGGCCAAATGTCAGCCAGTCAACGGGGGTGAATGTTATCGTACATGCAGTCAACCTCCTGGCATCTTTAAAACAGCCCAGAGTTCTAACATGAGGGGGATTACCAGAGCCTGCTCCTGGGTTATGTAGTCCGGATTAATATGTCAAACAATTAGCTATTTGTTGCTCTTTTTGCACTTGAATTGCACATTTGCACACCTCCACTTTGCACTTTAATAACTTGAATTTCCATTCTGGTACGAGCTCTTGACTGATTTTATTGCGCTGTTTTTATTTGGTTTTATATTTTTGCTGTGTTGTCTGATTTTCCCATCCAATTTGGTCCATGTTTTATGGTGATGTTGTCCTTGTGTTTCTTGTTTCTTATTGCAATGCAAATTTCCCCTTGTGGGACAATAAAGAATCTGAAGGCAGAGCTTTGGCAGGAAGAGGTCATCGTCCTGCTGGATGAGAATGTCCAATTGGCAGCCGGCATGCTAACAGTTGTATGAAACATATGTGGAGCTAGCAGCAGAGATCACACCTACATCCAATCTTCTCAAGAGACCAGAAAGCCACCTCTTATACATGAAGCTTGCACAACAGGCGTTTTTTTCTAGTTCCTGCACAGCGAGTGTGACGTATTATTAAAAAGGCAGATCAATGTCCGTCTAATCCTCAGTCTGCTGGGCAATACATAATCAGACAGAACGACTGACTGTTTCTGATTACGTTTGCAAATGACTCGCTTGCATTATCAAAGTCAGCTTTTTTTAAATTACACAGCAGGGCAGGGTGTAGTCTCCGGGACGCTGCTGCAATGACGGTTTGTGTGTGTGTGTGTGTGTGTGTGTGTGTGTGTGTGTGTGTGTGTGTGTGTGTGTGTGTGTGTGTGTGTGTGTGTGTGTGTGTGTGTGTGTGTGTGTGTGTGTGTGTGTGTGTGTTTGTTTGCTCCGCAAGGAACGTGACTAATTTGTCTCGAGCTAAACTGAAGCTGTTTCACCACGCATGAAGTGTAACCTGAAACATGAGCCTGACTCAAGGGAGTGCAGACAAATTTCATGGTAGCTGCTGAGAGTCCGATGTCAAATTGCTTCCAGGTAGACCCTGTTATTAGTCGCAGCACTGTACATAACTACAGACTCAAGGCAGGGTGTTAAGAGCTGATGTCTGAACGTGGAGGTAAGGTCTAGTTATGCTCTCTGTGCAAGCCTTTAGAACCGACATGGAGAGGTGCCAAAAGACAAGAAAGATCTGTATCTTTATGAAAAACACTAAAAACTAGGTTGGATGTTTCTCCCACATTCACTGAAACACACAAAGAGAAACTTCTCAGAGTAAATGATTCAAAAATGACACACACACAGCTCCCACAGCTAAAATATCACATGAGCCAGTCGAGGAAGCAAACATGTCCGTGCAGGTGCAGGCCCCAGGATGTCTTATGTGCACAGTTTGAAATGACCTAGTTAGTTCCAAACAAAAGTCAAAGGTCAAGCTTCACATAAATAAAGTGTCTCTAGCTCCAGCTGAAGACAGAGACAACTGAGAGCGTCATATTTTTATCTCTCCAGGCCAGGTACCACAGCTCTTATCAGCGTCCCTGTCATTGGGATTTATTGGCTGCTTCCTGCTTCAGTTACACTTTGCATTACAAAAACACAACAAACAGCTGACTTTAACAAGATGTTCAATCTCAGCTGAGGGAATAGAGGGAAGTTGGGATTTGCCTGCACAGCTTCAGGTAAATGAGACAGGGGGGGAGAGATAAGGGGTTGTTATTGAGGGCATCTGCCTCTCTATCATGCTGTTGGAGGTTAATTGCTGAGAGTTCACCTGAGTGGCAGTGTGGCAGACCGTCACACAGAACACAGCATGGCGAGCTGCTTAGAGGAGAGGCTGCGGTCTACAATGCCGGTGGACACAGCTGCATTCTGCTCAACTGACGGTGACAAACTGTGGCAGCTCCTTCTTTGATATCCTGCCAGGGGTTTGTGATCCAATGGGAGCGTACCTTTTAAGTATACAGACCTCTACTGTGCAGCTTTCACGGCATTCTGGGATTAACTAGAGGCTGAATGTTTGTAGGAAAACATGTTTGACTGCAAACATTAAAAAAAAAAAGTCAAATGCAAAAATAAAAAAGGAAAACTGATGCTTATTTTTCATATAGTTTTTGCTTTTATTTAGATAACATAGCCGTAGAATTGCAGGAAATGTGGGTAGACAAAGTGGAAGATGTTAGCAGCAAACTGCGTCAAGTTTGGGAGTTGAACCTGCGACATCTTGTCTGTACACGGGACGCCCGCTCTACCAACTGAGCTCAACCAGCGGGGTTAAAAACCTTCTTTACTGTATGACGCTGTGCAACCATTTGATGTTAGAATAAAGGTTTTTTTAACTCTTTATTTTGATGTACAGGATTCAACTTTGAACGCTGCACACAGTGAGGCAGCAGGATGAGGTCACTCAATGTTGTGACAGACACGACAGCAGTTATCAGGGTGGATTCTGGGAATGTTTCATTAAAGGGGAAAGTCCATTTTGCCAAGAGGTTACAGAACTGTGCAGACTCTTCACTTTCACATTCAGGAAACAACGTACGCCTTTATAAAACTGAATTCAACACTAATTAGTTAGAGGAAGAGAAATGAAAACTGAATGTTTGAAATGTGAAAAAGGTCACTGAGGCTTTTAAATCCTCACGGTAAGAGACTAGGGTTGCACAATATTGGAAAAAACTAAATTCTGATATCTTCTAGATTTGGAATTGCAATCTGCAGAATTGAGCATAAAAAGGCTGAGCGTGCGCTTA